ACATCCAGAGGAGGATAACAAGACTAATACCGGGCATTAGGAGCCTTGAGTATAGGGACAGATTTCAAGCATCTGAATTTGCACTCCCTCGAGAGACGTAGAATGAAGGGCGATATGATCGAGGTATATAAATGGAAGTCAGGGTTAAACAAAAGTGATATAACAAAGGTACTTAAACTATCTAATCAGGACGAAATCGTAGCAATAGTTTTGAATTAGACAAATTTAGATTCAGGCGTGAGACAGGTAAACACTGGTCTGGAATGAGTGGATGAATGGATGAGTGGAACTCAAACACGCTGGGAGGCTTCAAATATGCTTGGTTGGACAGATATACGAGTGATATGGCCAGTGTGGGCCAGTAGGCCAGCTGCATTTCCCTTCATTCTTTTATTCTTATGTTAGTTATTGCTGATGGTAGTGGTGGAACTGTAGTTTTGTTGTTGATAGTGTAGATTGGTTGTAATTCTGAGAAACGAGCTATTATGAAGTTCTAGAAGCATTTTTGAGTAATAGTAGACCACCTTTCCTACTTAATTTGTGCTGAATCCAAATTTAGTGTCTGTTGCATCGTCAAACCACCCTTAACCCTTTAAATCGCGGAAAACAAAATGGGCCTTGATCGCCGTTGCGGTATAAGATTTACTATATTTTGGCATGTAGACTAGGTAGAACAATAATTTACGTGTCGTTTCCTAGGTTTTAGGGGTCAAGGAGTTCATATTTATAATTGTAAAAACCGATGGATTTACTATTCAACACGATAATTGCTTGACAGTAACGTGACAACCAAGATGAAGACAAACTGGTGGCTACATTGATATCACTGAAATTATTTTCTGATGAGGGAGTACCGTCTTGCACAATATTGGAGAGAATATTTTAAATGCTAGAGAGAAAGGGTAGGAACAATACAACAAATACATTTGTGAAGGACAGAATTTTAATAAAAGGTGCACAAAAGGTAAATTTTCGACTTGCATAGAAGCAAAGTCCTTACATTTTTCGCACTCTGTGAGACAGAAACAAAGTCAACAATCCTGGGAAAGAGAAGATCCTGAAGGTGGACTGATCTATTGTTCAACGGCTGATTATCGCTCATCAGGCGGGTAGGACAGTAAAAAGAATTGGAATCCTTTGTCATGATCTTCTACTGGTCCCAGTAGCACTGGCAGAAATGAATGGAGATCTATGGGCAGGGTCCAACTCCGTTTTGTCCCATGTTTTAACAGCAGAAGTACAGTGTCCAACAAAACTGGGTACAGGAGAGGTTCGTGATGATGCGACCCTTATCGTTGATAGCCAGGCTATGGTAGTTGCTAATGGAAAACGAAATTAAAGCAGCAACATTTCGAGACTTGAATTAAAGATTTAGAAGCACTGTTCTTCGAGAAGATTATTTTAACCGCATAGACATTGTATTTGACAGTTATTATGAAGTCTCAATGAAGTCATTAACAAGAAATAGGCGTGTCAAAGGTGCCAGACCTATCAGAAGAGCGATTGAGAAAGGTAATGTACCTCTGCCTTCACCCTGGAGTAATTTCTTAGCTTTGCCAGAAAAATATGGCTGATTTTGGCACGGTTTCCCTCTGAAGAGATGATAAACGATGGTCATAATGCACCAACGCTTATCATATTTGGTGGGTCCATTGACGGGACAGAAGTGAAATTAACCAATCCAAGTGTCGACACATCTGTGCTTCAAGCAAGACATGAAGGGGCTGACACAAGAAGCATTCTACACTGTATTCATAATCAGTCTACGCTCATAATAGTATAATAGTACATGCCCGAGACACTGATATATTTCTGCTTCGTCTTGATAACTATCACCGTATGCCATGTACTGTACAGTACACAGCTCTGGTTAAGAACTGAAACAGCTAAGAAAAGAAAATTTATTCAAATACATGCACTTTTTGAACAAATGCCCTTTGACTCATCTGTGATGAAGACGATTTTGCTTTCTATGCTTTAACCGGAAGTGATATTACACCATATTTCGCTGGTCACACAAAGAAAACTGTGTAGAAAGTTTTTGAGCAACACTATGCGCAACTTCACAAACTGGGAAAAGGTGACAAAAACCCAGGAAACATTCAAGGACGCAGGAGAGTTTGTTTACAGACTTTATAATGTTAAAGATACAAATACTACTGGCAAGGTACGGTGGCTGCTGTTCGTGAAGTCTAACACTACTGAATCCCTGCCACAAACGAGTGAGGCCTTAGAATTCCAAGTGATGCGTTCACACTATCAGGCAGAAATATGGAAATGTTAACTACCTTAATCTACCCCCCCTCCTGAATCCCTGGGTTGGTAAAATGACGAGAACATATTATTGCCTATACTGATGTCACTGTCCTCCGGCACCTCAGTCCTGCCTTTGTGGTTGCATATCAGGATATTGGAGTTTCCGTTGTAAATGTAGAAAGTCTGGTATGTCTTGTACAGCAGTATCCGCAAAGACAATGGTAACTGCAGTAACGAATGAAAATTCAAAATACAAAATTGAGTGAATGCTAAGATATTCTTTCGCGCGTGCGTGTGTGTGTGTGTGTGTGTGTGTGTGTGTGTGTGTGTGTGTGTGTGTGTGTGTGAAATAATAATAATAATAATAATTAATGGTTTATTGAAAGAGCTTGGCAGCCAGAAGGCTGAAAATATACAGTTACATAATTGGGGAATGGGTTTCGAATTACAAATAATATACAAATAGCATAAGTGATATAAATAAGATATATAATAACTAGATGGGGAAAAGCTCAAACTACAGGGCATTTCAACATAGTGACAGTGCAAGAAGTAGTATTTACTAGGAGTGAATACACTGGTTTATTACAAGTTATTGATAATTTTTACAATGGTTGGGACTGGGCTGTTCTTATAGCGATCAGTTCATGCACGTATGGGCTGGATGCGGTTGTGGTGTCGAACAGCAATTCTCGGGCTAGGGATCTCAGGTAGTAGTAGGAGCCGGTGTCGAGGATGGTGCAGAAGCTTCTTACCAAATTTGCAGATGAGGTCGTGGTGATGGTCAGTGTGTTGAGCGCTTCTTGATATGTGGAGTAGGAAGGGGAGAGAATAATCTTGCATGCCCTCTTTTGCACTTTTTCTAGGTGTTTACGTTGTGTGGCATTTAGGGAGGAAGACCAGGTAGGGGAGGCATAGGTGAGCTTGGAAAGTATGAATGTTGAGTAAACACTGAGGAGCTCGGGTGCAGGAACTCCGAGGGACTTGAGTCGGCGGAGGAGGTGGAGACGGAAACTGAAGGATTTGACAACTTCAATGACGTGTGGTTTCCAATTTAGTTTGTTGTCTATGATGACGCCGAAGAGCTTCGTGGAATCTACAACCTGGAGTGTGTTCGGACCTAAATTAATGGAAGGGAAGGGACAATGTCGGAGGAGAGGTTGATGTGCATAACCATGGTCTTGGTATGGTTGATGGTGACGTGGTTGTTGGTGGCCCAGTTTTGGAGACTGTTCAACAAATCCTGAAGGGCGGTATAGTCGGGAGCAGAATTGGTGCCTTCGGGGACGCCACAGGTGAGTGACTGAAAGGTGGAGACAGCCCCTCGGAAGCGTACAGCTTGGCGTCGGTCACTGAGGAAGTCTGTAAGCCATGGTATAAGACTTCTCCGAAGCCCGAGGTCAATAGCTTTGTTGATGATTATATTGTGGTCGACTAGGTGTGTGTGTGTGTGTGTGTGTGTGTGCTTTTTTTCGTCATGAGTTATTTTGGTAACAGAGTCTAAATTGGTAGGATATATAATTATTTTTCGGGATAAATGGAAGGAATTCTTGTTTTGTAAAACAACAATTTATATTTCTTGATATTTGTATGAAAATGATCAGTTTATATATTAATTCTTATGAATTATTCAAGAAGATTTTGATTATGTGTTAAAAATTTTTCCACGTACCAAAACTGTGATATTTTTATTAAATGCCACGTATTTGAAACTTCTTAGACGTTAATGACTGCAATGAATGTTAAGAACTGCAGAAATTTTTAATTTAAGCATGTTAATTTTTACCACATTAAAATGTGATACATACTTAAATATTCCTGTATCATATATCGAATACAATAGCTATTCTGAACATAATTATTTTTTATTCCATGATGTATACAGTGCGAAATATGAACTCCTTAACCCCAAAACCCAGAAAACGTCACCAAAATTATTGTTCTAGGTATTCTACATGTTTTCCGTGTATTAAAGGGTTAAGAGTGGTCTGAAGATGCAATAGACACCAAATTTGGATTCAGCACACTCAAATTAGGGTGAAGAGGTGGTTTGTTTACTTGTCCTCAAAAATGCCTCTAGAAATATGATTTTGCCAAATCTCTAGCAGTTTAGTGGTGTGAGTGTTATATTTGTTGTTGTCATTGGTACTGGTAGTCCTGTAGTTGTTATTGTTGGTGGTACTGGTTGTGCTGTAGTTGTTGTTTTTGTTGGTACTGGTGGTGCTGTATTTGTTGCTGTTGTAGTTTTCGTTGTCGTTGTCAGTGGTTGTATCATAGTGGTTAGTGGTGGTGTCATAGTTGTTGTTGGTGTTGTTGGTAGTGTTGTTGTTGGTAGTGGTGGTGTTGTAGTTGTTGTTTTTGTTGTTGGGAATGGTGGTGTTGTAATTACAGTTACTCATAGTGGTGATGCTGTTGTCATTGTTGTTGGTGTTATCATTGTCCAAGGTAAAGTGACAACATTAATCAGATAACCATACACTAGTGATTCATCCATTTAAAAGTAGAGTGATTTTTTCTAATAGAAGTTAATATTAGTGATACCGACCCACTAAGTAAATTTACAGGTATAATTTTTATTCTTCTGATTTCACACTGAGGTCTAGGTTAAGTCACTACCTAGATAGGTAATGTGGGGTCCAAAACTCCCCACGCCGAACAGCATTTAGCTTTTTGGTGCTCGTATGTACAGTATTTGCTGGTAGATCTTGGCGCTTGTGGTCTGGTCTGCAGACAGTCTGCCTCATCCTCTCGCAGAGTGGAGGTGTGTTGTGCGTTGCTCTCGATCCATGGTCTAACAGCAGAGACCCTGGAGCCCACTGTCACCCCATGGTACTCATAGTGCACCTGCGGTTCCCTCGCATTGTTTAGATGAAATATTACGGTTTAATCCTTTCGCTGCGGGAGGTTACTCTAAGCTGAACAAAATCGTCTGGCGGTAGCCTGTATATAATAGCAAGTGCAGCGAAAGGATTAATTGAGATAGTGTTTAAAGTGAAATAATATGAACAGTTGTAGTGGGAATGCGTGAGTAAATGTTTTGGTGTTCGCTCATTGTCATTGATATGCGTTTGAGGTAACACAGAATCCCGCTATACTGAATCTTAGACCGAGGACCCGCAGGTACCACGTGATGGCAAGTGGGTTTTTTTGTAATTTTTAGATGTGTTGGAAAGACAGTGATTTACAGTACTAAACAAACTAATAGACGTTTGTTGATAAATTATTTGGAAACTAAAGTGTTTTTGCTATAAAATCATGCAGATTTGAAGTGTTTTGGTGCTGAAATATTAACATGCCAGTTTTGGAAGAAACGTATTTGCTTTTTGTTTTTTCAGGGAGACAATAGTGCGTTGCTTCAAACGTGCATATATACGTGTTTATTTTCATTTTGCAGGTTATAAATACTTTTCAGAAATATGCCCAAAGACTTTTATGAGCAATGTGTCGGAAAAATATCAGAAACGCCGAAATCCATGAGATATTATGGAGAGAGACCTGCATCTCCTGCAGACGCAATGTCTGTGCACGCCACTCCTACTTACTCTGCCATGAGTGCCAGTAAAACCAGGTAAATGTCATAATTTTATGCATCAAACCAATGTAAATATTGTATAATAATTTTATCTGTAATTTTATGCATATATATAATTACACATGGTCTATATAGGAATTACAAAGTGCCCTATATGAAACATGTAAAAAAAAAATGCATAAAAAAAGGCAAATTTTCATTTCCATTTCCTGCAGTGTTCTGGCGGTTCCTGGTGGCTACTATTGACAGTGTATGCTGCCCAATCATTCTTATCTCAGGACCAGGCAAGGAAAATTCGTTGTACCTCTTATATTTTTTTATTTTTTTGTTATGAAAATAAGTGTAAAATGGTAAAAAAAAATCAACTTAAATATTCATATAGTCAGCTTTTTGGTTTTTTTTTTTTCAGTCAGAAGCCTAGCTAAGACCTTTAAATGTTTATATATGCCTTTAAATTTCAATAGATGTGACTTCCTTATTTTTGGTGATTTTTTTCCTCTGGGGTCTGTGGTGACTCCCAATTACCTGAGGTGTAGAAACATTTATATTATTACCTATCTAGGGTTCAAACTCAAACTACCAATACCACCAGGAAATTTTTGTTCCATGGCCCAGGCGTCCGTGGCCCAAGCGTCTGTGGCCCAAACGTCCGAATACCAGTGTAAACGGGGCTGCCTAGTATGGGTCAATAGTCACACTGCAGTTTTCTCCATTCATATGTTTCTATGTTTTGTAAGTGTATACATATAGATAAATACAAGCCAATATATGACTCACCTGAAGCATCATGATCCACACAGATATAACGAGGGTGGAGGTGACAGCGGCCCACACGAGGGGTTGGAAGGGCCGGTGAATGCTTAGCCACATCGGCAGCGGCTGTGGTCTTAATAGGAAGACTCCAATAGCATCTCTCATAAAATATGGAGATCCTTCAAAAGCTGTCAAACGATCCGGTGTGTTATAAAAACCATTGATAGTGAAGTTCTTCTCCTTTTTATTAACCATTCCCAACAGGCCAGTCCAAGTCCCGTTCTTGAGGATACCCCACTGTAGATCAGGAGACTCTACCGTCATGGTGTACGTGAAATTCAGAGTTGATGACAGGGCGTCCAACATCTCCACCGAGACTCCAGCTCCGACAATATCATCAGTTAAGTTCTTCAAATACAGGATAGGGGGTTCCTTCATCCAGGTAGCCAGCTGAAACTGATAGCCGTCAAACGTCGGAAATCGATCAATAAATAAGTTATCCCACTTGCTGTAGTACTGAGGATTCCACTCACCTAAGAACTTTGGGTTGCTCGATGAGAAGGGCAGGAGAGTGAATACACCCATTGTATTACGTATTCCATACACCTCACCTGATAGTTCACAGATTAATGCTAGCCTCTCGACACTGTTAAACACGTCATCACTGAGGATATTGGTGTCACAGGTGGACGCCAGGCTGAAGAGCAGGAGGTTGTGTGGCTTCCAGCTTAGCCACAGCGACTGGAGGAACTTGGCTGGGTGTGTGAGAAAGAAGACAAGATGGACCACGGAGGAAGTTTGGATGAAGGCCGGGACTTGCTGGTGTGGCCACAGCGTCTCGTTGACACCAAGACTTAGAGATAGGTGAGCCGTCTCTTGCACCGCCTCCAGAGCCATTATTGCTTTTTGGGTGTTTCTGGGGATGGCGGGGTCCATATGCACTGCCACCGTCCTATTTCGTATAGGACCAGAAAGCATCTTCGACACTATTAAATTTTTTTCTTCATTTAAGGTTCGCAAATTGTGAGTTGAAATCTTATCTTGTGTACAAAAGAAGATAATCGCAGACATTAAGCACAATGTTTTGCCCATGTTAATAGTAAATAATGCTTATAACGGGGTAAGAGGTAAGAAAAGAGAGGATATGATCAGTCCACTCCAGAAGTCTTCCGAGGCATGACTGACGTCCCGAAACAACAGTAGCAAGATAATAAAATTGTATTATATTATCCTCGCATGATATATGAGGGAGAACAATATTCCCGGTTTGTTCATTTACGTAAGTGTCACTGCACATAAATATCTTTCTCACATAATATTGCCAGATAATTCCAGGTAAGTTATTTAATTTACATATGTTACCTGGAATTGCCTGTCATAATCATGTAAGGCATAAATTTATGACCAAAACCACTTACGTAAATCAATAAACAAAACAGACGTTCCAGTACCACAACACCCAACATAATCCTTTCTAACAACGAGGCCGTTCTGAACAGGCACGTTACTGCCGAACCCTTCAGTATGAGCGACCACTTGCCATTCGTCGTGACGCTCTCACCCAATCCCAGTATGATCCCTACCAGAATCAACTCAAACCTTAAACGGGGAGGAACCTTGAGGAGGCCAGCCCCAATGACATTTACGACGTGGTCGAGCAATGGTACACTGATGGGATGACGGAGATGAACAACAACATTCCGACAACCACCCACAGGGCCATTACACACCCTCACACTAGTCACTAGCTGAGGTAGCTCGGTGTCCAGTACGATCACGTGAGACAGCTAGCCAGTATCCGCGTGGACGCAAGAGCTGAGAGACCGGTACCGAGAGCTACAGACGGACATCCAGCACGAGAGCAAACGTTTGCATGAACAAAAGTGGGCCGCCTTGGTGTGGGAGGCAGCCAACAACTACTGCGACTCTGCCGCCTTTTGGAATGGGATCAAGTGACTAATGGTTCCACCTCTTACACGGTCCCTTACTTGCTCGACCAAAACAGCGAGAAAATATCCGAGGAAGAAAGCCAAGAAAAATTACATCTGCGATATTTGCGAAAGATCTTTACCATTAATGAACAGGAGAACGAGGGCTTCGACAGGGAGTTTGAGGAGGAAATTTTTGCTCGGTTACATGACAATCAGCACTTGCTAAAGCCGCTCGCACGGACTTACTTCACTAGAGTGACAAACGACAGCTGCCTAACGGAGCGCATAGTCACCTTGGCAACGTCATATTAGCAAGAAGATCCTGGCCCAACTTCTCGACAACATGATAGAGAGGCTTGCTCATATATGCAATGCCTGCCTCACCTCTGGATACTCCCCTAAGATGTTCAAAATCGCCGTTATCTACCTCATACCAAAATCAGGGAAACCACCAAACAAAGTCGAAAACTTATGATCGATATTGCTGCTAGAGGTGCCAGCCAGAATCCTCGAAAAAATAGTAAATAAGCGGTTGCGGATGTATTTGAAGGACGAAGATGTGCATAATCCCCACCAGTTCGGCTTCCGCCAGTACCGAGGCACATACACCACCATAGACCAGGCCAATGAGCAGATCTGCAACGCCATGACTGGCCGCCTGTAGTGCAACGTAGTGCTGAGGGACATCATCAAGGCGTTTGACAAGGTTTCGCACGCAGGGCTGCAGTAAAAAATAATACAACTTGGGCTACCCGAAAACCTGACGCGCCTGCTGTGCTGACCGCAGAGCCAAAAAAAAGAAGATTGTGAGAAGGAATTCTCACTCTCTTGTCTCTCACCAACCCTTTACACTCTCTACACGGCTGACCTGCCACCCCCAATCATCGACAGCAGCGAGTACGTCATGTATGTCGACCATGTGACACAGATCGTCACCTGTCCAGGAAGGTCCACGACAAGGAGGGCGCGACTTACTGCTCGGGCAAACAAAACGAAATACGAGGTCATACCCATAGCCAAATTCAAGTAGGCCCTATTGATGATCGACGACAAAGAGATTGGGTTCTCTAAACAAGGGAGGTTGTTCGGCCTCAGGTCCCACGTGAAGAACAGACTAAAGAAAGCCAAAGTCGCAGCCACCAAATTAAAACGTTTTAAACTGATGCCTGAGAAGATACAAGTACATCTGTATAAGGCGCTTGTAAGGCCTGTGTTGGAGTACCCACACGTCCGACTCGTCACGCTCGGAAAGACCAGACCACGAAAGCCACTGCACTATCTCTCCCACCACAATTCCCTTCCTAACCTCCTGCTCCTTCCTCTGTCATCTTACCCGCACTGCCTTTCGCTACCAACAACTTTTGGAGCTTCTAAACTTGGAAGAATTTCCGGGGACACTTTCTGACCCTCTCTCACCATGAACGGTTACGAGTTTGAGAACGTGGCGCAGATACGTCCTGATACGCCGACCTGCCCCAAGAAAATAAACCTCCTAGTTTTCAAGAAGTTCTTTAAGAATATAAGAACATTAGAAAATGAGGAGTCTGCAATAGGCCAGTTGGCCTGTGCATGGCAGCTACTGTCGAGAGTTACTACCACTCTCTATCATCCATGAATCTATCTAGCCTCCTTTTCAAACTTTCCAGAGTTCCCGCACTTACTACAGAGTTGCTAAGCTTGTTCCACTTGTCCACCACCCTATTTGTGAGCCAGTTTCTTCCTATCTCCCTCCTAAACCTAAACTTATCCAACTTAAATCCGTTGTTCCGAGTCCTATCCTGCTCGGATATTATAAGAACTTTATCGACATCACCCTTTATTGATTCCTTTCACCCACTTAAATACTTCTATCATATTTCCCTGCACTCTTCGTCTTTCTAGGGAATGCAAGTTAAGTTTCTTTAACCTATTGTTACGAACCACGCCATCTAATGTCATGATCTACCTACCCAGCACCACGAGCAACGCCATCTAGGGACGAAATCCGAGTATGACTAGTCTTAGTCACCACCCCGGGATTCCTTTCTCCATATCCTGGTTGTTGTGGCACCTCCTCCAAGTCTTCCTCATCAGCTCCGGATCGAGGAGAGTTTATTTCACTCTGGGAAGTGACCACACTAGGATCACCTATCCTGGAAACCTACGGCACAGTGACTACCTACCATCTTCTTCAATACTCAGCCTTACTCGTCAGACACCTCAGCACCGCACTTGAGTATTTTATGTTACCTCCCACCTCCACTTGCTTCAGATTGTTGTATGTTGTATAAATATGTATATACTGTTAAGCCAATGTTGCGTATGTTTAGGTTAAGTATGGTTAAGGGTAAATTATAGAAAGCTGAATATTTTGTTAAGGAATTTATGGTACTTTATTATACACAACAAAAACTCGCATCCTTGGTCTACCCTTTTATAGTCCGATTGTCTTTGTTTATTTAAGTTTTTTTATTGTTGTTGCCTGTTGGGATCTGGGTAGACTTTTAACTATATTCTAAATCCCTAACTCGTAACACTATCCTGATATGGAAGATTTCTAAGTCCCGGAAATCATTTTCGTCATTCTTCGCTGCACCGATTCTAGTGAACTGATATCCATTCTATAATAAGGGCACCAGAATTGAACCACATAATCGAGGTGCGGCCTGACTAGCGCAA